GCAGTTGCCTCAAAGGCACTTCTTCTCCTCAGTGTGCTTTCTTTTTCTTCCAATAGGTATGCTGCAAAGATGAAATCAACTTCAGGAAATTAATTTCATAGAGACACATTTCAAATTTGCTAAGACATAAAGTAGTATCAGAAAATTTACACAGCAGTCAAAATGTAGTCCTTTCAATAACATATCTTACACAAATTTCAACACTTACTTTAATCTGTTATCCACAGACGATGTGATGGTTTGTTAATCATTTGTGTGTTTCTAGTGATGGAGAGTAGCCATATGATGCAAGTAGTTGATGTCTTTCTTCTGTTGTGACTGACCAGTTTGTCTCACACACAGAGATGTAGGAGGGCAGCAGTGTAATAGTGCATACTAAATACACACCACCACATACACAGAGCTGGTTATGCAAAAAATGAAATAACAGCACAAGGACACTAGGACACTTTGTTACAGACATTGTTGCTTGCTACTATGTTCTCATCTCTTTGAGCTTGAGTGGGCAGAATGAGGCGGAGGATGAAGTCAGGGAGTAGTTTGAAGCTCATTAGCATATGCCAAACTGACTATAGTGGGATACTACAGAATTGGAAAAACTCTAATAAGAACTAAAAGTAACATATTAAATTATATATAATATATAATAAATTATATAATATATTGCTTTATATATTATATAATGTTTTAAGTTTTAAGCTGACAAAAAATTTGTTTGGTTTTTGTAAGTTGTTCTGTGATCAGACAGCCACTAGATGACATTAGAGACACTGCTAACACTACCACACTGGCATAAGGTCCATTTGAGGCCTATGTTTTCATTATTTCCGTGCTACACAGGCTTTCCTGATGGTGATATCCTGTTAACAGTTTTGAATAGCATCCACTTATACTCCTTCTGACACAGCTGGTTTCATTGTTTCAACATGAGGTCCCTTGTTTGTTGTCACTGCTTCTCCAGCTCAAAATAAACCTACTAAATAACGCCAGACTTTCTGAGAGTAAAAACACTGTCTCTGAATAAATTACCTAAAAGTCGAGTCGGCTTCTAAACCTTTGGTCCATTTATAACTCTACATAAATTAGTGTGAAAGTGACAAAATGAACGATAATGAAGGCAATTTAATAATCCATATAACAGGTAATTTAATGGAGTTGTATTTGTTTAATTTTAATTTTAGTATGCACTTTTAAGAGTAATGCTGTGTCTGGTAATGTGTTGTTTGTTTATGAGCTGACGATGTGCAGTGGGAGTTATGAGGGTAAAAACTAAGCAAAATCCATATTTGACATGTCTCACAGCATTAAAGAAACATACAAATAAAACGTGTTAACAGAGAAATGTTTGCTAACACTGTTGAAAAAGACCATTTAAGATGTGAAAATCTGACTCCATATTCAGAATGGATTTCCACCTTACAATATACAGAAATTACTTATAAGAATTACCCATTCCCGCAGTTAATAATCACTGTTGGTGTAAAGGTTTTACAGGACACGATTATCTTTTTTTATTATTTGAGCTATTATTTACTTATGAAAGTGGCCCTTTTGCATTTGGTTGGTTCATACTTAATTCCCACAATATCAGAAAAATGGTAAAAGGGGCCACATTTAAGAGCAAATTGTTGACACCTAGACATAAAAGTCCGAGTTTTTATAGCATTTACTTTGTTATGCTTCTTGTGTTTAGTACAGAACTGAAAGCCTTTGTGATCACTGTATTCAGAATACAATGGGATTAGGTGTGTTCCTCCTGCTTGTTGCAGTTGTAAAGATATAACATTAAATTATAATTCAAATATACTAAGAACACCATAAAACCACTTGCACACATTAAAAAAGAAGTAGCTTTACCATGATGTGAAATGTAATGAAATAGCATAAAATTTAATATGTAAAGTCTATTTTTAAGCAAATTAAAATGCTATTTTGAGCCTACTTATCAACATCTTACCTAAAGTGTGTTTGCCAATTCAGGGTGAGACCCTGTTCTATGGGGGGGAAGTGTGACGGCCAGTGGGCTGGCCTTGTGTTTTGCTTTTTCTCTTACCTGTTTCTTGCAGGTAGGTGGAGCTGACCCAATTACTGATGCAGCACACCTGAGGGGCCAGTCCCAGTGTATATAAAGACACCTTGACTGAACCAGGGTGGCTGGCTTTTGGCTTCCTCTGACGTGTTATGTTTATTTGGAAGTTTCAGTTATGGCTGTTATGTCCTTTAACTTGTGTTTAAGTTGCTTTACCTTATTTTCATTAAATATGTCTTACAGTCTTTAAAAGCCTGTGTGTGGTCTCCCATTTGTTTGTCACTTCCTATGAGCCGGGTTGTGACAGTGTTGCCTTGCAAGATGGCACCGGTGTACGTGGCTTGCCGTCCTCGGCTACATCTGCTTCGCTGCTTCTTACCCTCTCTACGCTCTTTATGGACCTTGGCATTGTATTTTTTTTATCCTTTTAGTTGTATGCGCATCTAATGGCTGTGCACTGATTACATACGACAGGCAAACACTTTTAAATCTAAGACTCTCTCATTCTTCTCGGCCTGATCCTTGCTGGAACCTGAGTGACGCCACCGCGCCCCGACCGGACCCTCCGACCGGCTTCCTCCACCTACCTATTCCGAATCTACACAAGAAACGCTATAGGAAACGCGGTAGAAGGAGCGGCCATCGCGTTCGCTTCAGGCTCTACTTTAAAGCCAGAGCCACAGGCTACCCACATGCCAGCCTGGATATTTTATCTTCTTTCCCTCCTTCCCAGGAGCGCTCTGATGCTAAGTTGCTCACCCACCGTTGGATCTGCTTGGCTGACCACGAAGTCTACCCTGCGATTCCAGTGGCATGTTCTCCTGCTTGGGTTTGGATAACATCGCTCCGACGCGGCGTTTGCCGAAGCAACCTAAGTGTCCTACGACGCACCACCCGTGGCGACTTAGCCCCTAGGATACGGATGGCATTGCTTAATGTCAGGTCGCTGGTCAATAAGACCTTTCTTTTAAATGACTTCATCTCCACTAATGGGATTGATGCCTTATTCCTGACTGAAACCTGGATTCGTCCTGGTGAGTTCATCCCTTTTACTGAACTTCTTCCGTCGGACTGTGTTGCTTTTAGCTCACCAAGGCTTACTGGTAGGGGTGGCGGCGTAGCCTCGGTTTTTAAGAATTCGTATGCAGTTCGGCAGCTACCCTCACCTACCTACTCTAGCTTTGAAGTCCAATTATTGGAGATGACTGCATCCACGACCACACTCTGCGTGGTGGTTTATCGACCGCCTAAATATAGCAAATATTTTATCACGGACTTTGCTGATCTCCTAGGCTCCGTTCTTTTTAAGTATGGTTGTGTTTTCATTGTCGGTGATTTTAACATACACACTTGCTGTAAGGATGACTCATTTGCTAAAGACTTCCTTGCCTTAACGGACTCTTTTAACCTGGCTCAGTGGGTTAATGACCCAACGCATGTTAAAGGACATACTTTGGACTTGGTTTTCTCATATGGTCTGGACATTTGTATCAAGGATATAAGTGACGCTGGGATCTCGGATCATTTCCCAGTTATATTTGATACTGGCTTATGCACTAATGAACTACATCCTGCGGCTCCCCTTCGCCCGCTACGTGTAATTAATGCTGAAGCGATGTCAAACTTCTCTATGTCTTTCTTGGATTCTGCATCTGTCACTCTCGACTGTTGTTCTTTTCACTCGGTTGATGACTGTGCTAATTCCTTCCTATCGCTGATTTCTTCAATCCTTGATACTGTTGCCCCCATTAAGATGAAGCGCCCTAGAACCTACTCTCAGTGTTGGCTTAATGACACTACGCGCGCCTTACGTCGCGAGTGTCGGCGCGCTGAGAGAAGTTTATCTTTTTTCCGCAGCGGAAAAAAGATAAACTTCAGGTTTCCCATGACATGCTACGGACTAGCCGCTTAAAATTCCAAAGTGCTGCTAAAACGGCCAAAGCGTCCTTCTTGTCCAAAATCATCCTGGCCAATGACCATAACCCCCATACCTTATTTAAAATTTTTAAACTCTGTGGTTAACCCTTCCCCGGACATGCCTTTAATTCATTCTCAGGGTCTTTGTGAGCGATTTCAAACTCACTTTTTAAAAAAGGTCTCATCTCTTTAGTCCTCCCTTCCCCCTGCTTTATATCCTCTCCCCATTCCTGAGTGCATTTCAACTTTCCACCAGTTTGAGCCTGTGTCACTTTTGACTCTTAAGCGGCTAGTTGCTCAAATGAATAACACCAATACTGTGCTTGACATTCTTCCATCTCGTTTAGCTAAGGACTGTTTTGATGTAATCGGACCTAGTATCCTATTTCTTATGAACTTTTCCTTGCTCTCAGGCTGTGTTCCTTTGTCCTTTAAGCATGCTGTAGTCCACCCGATTCTTAAAAAAAGAAATTCTGACTGTTATGACCTTTCAAACTATAGACCGATCTCTAAGCTTTCGTTCTTGTCCAAGATCCTGGAGAGACTAGTTCTCTCCCAGCTCCAGGCGTACTTGGACACGAACAATATTGCTGAGAAATTTCAATCTGCCTTTAAGCCATTGCATAGCACTGAAACAGCATTGGTTAGAGTTCTTAATGGTATTCTTGTAATCACTGATATTGGACGCTCTATGGTCCTAGTTTTACTGGACCTCTCTTCGGCCTTTGATATGGTAGACCATAACATTTTATTACTAAGACTTGAGCACACTGTGGGTATTAGAGGCACTGCCCTCGACTGGTTTAAATCATACCTCGCTGATAGATCCTTATCAGTTCACTTAGGCACCTTCTCCTCTTCCTCCGCTCCGGTCTGTTGTGGTGTGCCTCAAGGATCAGTTTTAGGCCCTATTCTCTTCTCATTGTATTTGCTCCCTCTAGGCGCAATCTTTGAAAAATACAATATCGCCTTCCACTGTTATGCCGATGACATACAAATCTATTTTGAACTTACTGACGACCTTGCTGTGTCCCTGCACTACTTTCAAGAATGCATGCGGGAGGTCAAAGAATGGTTCCTGAGTAATTCCCTCGTTTTAAATGATAAGAAGACTGAGATTGTGGTGGTCAACAGTAAAATCCCTCGTGCCCAACTCTGTGCTGCCCTGGGTTCCTTTGCTAGTTTTTCTTGTGACTATGTCAGTAACTTGGGTGTACTGCTGGATAGCTCGCTCAAACTCGATAAGCAAGTGTCTGCTGTAGTGAGATCTAGCTTCCACCAACTGAGCCTTATCTCTAAGGCTAGGCATTATATTCCGCATGAGGACCTGGAGAAGCTTATTCACGCTTTTGTGACCTCCAGGTTGGATTATTGTAACTCCTTGTATTACGGTCTTCCCTCTTCTCTTCTTCTTAGACTGCAAACAGTCCAAAATGCAGCAGCCCGCCTTTTGACTGGTACCAGGAAATTTTGCCATATTACTCCTGTCCTAGCTAGCCTGCATTGGCTGCCCATAAAGTACCGTATTCAATTTAAAATATTACTCCTTACTTTCAAAACTATTAATAAATTAGCGCCAAGTTATCTTAGTGAACGTCTCAAACCACATACTCCTGCTAGAATACTCAGATCTGCCACTCAACTACTTCTGACCCAACCCAGATCTCGACTGAAGTCCCGGGGTGACCGTGCGTTTGCTCTCGCTGCCCCGGTACTGTGGAATACCCTTCCTCTCGACCTCCGCGCATCTGATTCCATTGCACTGTTCAAATCACGATTAAAAACCCACTTATTCAATCTTGCCTTTCCCTCTAGTTAATATTCTTTTATGATTTTATATCATGCACTTTTATGCTCATTTAAATTCTTGTTTGCTCTGTACCTGTTGCTTTCCTATGTATTAGTGACAGTTATCTGCTTGCATATTTAGTACTTGCTTTGGTCCTATTTCTATTATCCTCCTCCTATACTCTATTTTACTTGTTAAGCACCTTGGCATACCCTTGGTTTTTAAGTGTGCTTTATAAATAAAGTTTATTATTATTATTATTATTATTATTATTATTAAAGTTTTAGTTTCATTTTTGAAACCTCTGTGTTGTGAATAGTTTCATTTCACTGAAACCCACTGTGGTGAGCAAGAGTTTCATTTCACTGGAAAACACTGTGTTGGAGAGAGCCAGAGACAAAGAACGATAGAGGGTGACTGGCACGCCTCAGTATGAACATACCTGCTGTAGAAGAAAACATTACACGGAATAACAGACAGGTTTTGTGGGTTTTTTCTGTTCCTTTTTTTCCCTACAGCAAGATGGGTTTAACCACAACTGAAGGTTGGTATTTTTACTTTTGTGCATGCACGCATTTTCTAACATGCTTATGTAATCTGATACAGAACCCATGAGTTGTTTTGATTTTTAAAATCAATCCCCACAGACTCCTTTTCCCCAGTGATCGGTGACTTAAGGATTGTTCTGCTGGGGAAAACTGGCTCAGGAAAGAGTGCAACAGGGAATACTATCCTGGGTTACAAAGCTTTTGACGAAGAAATATCTCCATCTTCTGTAACAAAGATGTGTAAGAAAGTGACTGGACATTTTGATGAAAGAACTGTGAGTGTTGTTGACACCCCTGGAATCTTTGACACATCAATTAAAGAAGAGGAACTGAAAAAGGAAATAGAAAAATGCATAATGCTGTCTGTCCCAGGACCCCATATGTTTCTGCTAGTGATCAGATTGGATGTGCGCTTCACAAAAGAAGAGAAGAGTTCTGTTAAATGGATCAAAGAAAACTTTGGGGATGAAGCCTCAAAGTATACAGCAGTGCTTTTCACAAGGGGTGATCAGTTCAAAGAAACATCCATTGAAAACTACTTAGAGCAAAGTCCTGATCTGAAGGAGCTCATCGCTGAGTGTAAAGCTGGGTATGTTGTATTTGACAACACATGCAAGAAAAATCGCACTCAGGTAGCTGATCTGTTTGAAAAGATAGACCAGACAGTGCAATTAAACGGGAACCATTACACCGGCAGCAAATACGAAGAGGCCCAGAAACAGATGAATTGGAACAAATGGTGGCGCAAATGTGGAGACACATTGAACTCTGCAGGTAATTATTTGCTTGTGGCAGGAGCGCCAGGAGCAGCAGCTGCTGCACCTGCAGTTGGTGCTGCTGTAATGGCAGAGGAAGCAGCAGTCGCATCCGTTCGGCCTCTATTAATGTTTGTAGGAGCAGGGATTGTTAAAGGCATTGGGGGCTGGATCAGACCTAAAACAGAGAACAGTTAAGTATTACCAAGCCACAACCTTTATGAAGTCTCTTTATGAAGAAGAGGCTTTTTGTATACAAGGACAAATTCACGCTTGATATTATACCTGCTGTTTTAAACTTTATGAAGATCATCAGGTTTGGTGTACGGTTTATTTCATAATGCTTTTTTTAATTTTTATCATGCAATAGTTTGTTTCCATAGATAATCAAAAAAAGAGAATATTTATTGAAAACATATAGTTATGTAGAGGTGAAGCAAAAAGAAAATGATTCAACATCTCTTAATCATATTTTAATCTGCATTGTCACTACTCTCTCATCTTTGTATTGTATTACAACATTTACAGCACTTTTTAAGTAGTATTTCTTTTTTTTTTTATTTGTTTTTCTTGTACAATGGTGCGACTTATTCAAATCATCTGTTGTGTAATGATAGACAAGCTGGACTATGTACCTGAAGTTATCTGATACTTACGGTTCATTATAGATATTTACTGTAAATTCTTGTCAGGATTGGGTTTTTTGTTTTTAAATTTAATGTATAATCTGATTTACAGTTTTATATTTAATTTTACTATAAAAGGGCATTTGAAAGTACATTTTCCACTAAAATCAATGCCATTTCTTGTGCTAATGCCTTCTTTCATTGTTTTAAATAAAGTCATCCACTCTGTACCAGAATGTCATTAGTTCTTTTTTTGCTCATGCCCCACCGCCAAGATTGTGCAAAAACCTCCATGTTGAAATTCATCAGTCTTGCTGATATACAACACTAATCATACACTGGCTGACAGCTAAATTACCATGTTATGATATCACATTCAAACTGCATTAAAATAATTAGATTTTACACTTGGTCTGGTTTAGGCTATATGAAAGGTCATAAGGTTTTCTTGGCATAAATGGATGGAAATAAACACAAAACGCATAATAAATAAACAAACCGCACTTATGACAAATGAAACTGAAACAAGAAATGATACACGTTTTCTTGTAAGATTCATTAGCAAATAATACATAACACTCATTCCATTGCAGGTATTAGTCAAACAGATGAAAATAGACCAATCTAACCTGTAATACGGGTTGTAGGTGTAGTTGGCATTTAAAATATAACCTGTACATTTGAAGCACCACAACTCAGTTTACAACCTTTTCACATCTGAACACACCTGTTATTTGATACTGAGCCTCCTTTCATTTGTAATTTTAAATAAATAATGTTCAGCTTCAGTGTGTTTTGTTCTTAATTGCAGAACAAGTAGCAGTGTCCTTACTTTGATCCTTTTGTGGCTGACAGAAACTGACTACCATTCATTTTAACATCTGTGCTGGTCATGTTTGTACTGATGGTATGTGTTAGGTATTTTAGTACCACGGTTAGCATTTACAGAAGATTGTTTTATACAGAAAACTGTTACTCAATAAGGCCGATCTACTAGTTGTTTTTCTCTTTCTCTGTGACCCAAGAATTAATGTGAGACTCACAAGCTGGTACCAGAAGGTCGAAAACACCACAGAGATGAGACCACTTCCTTACTCCCATCCTCCCTTTTTCTTTATCTCCTGGAAAAGGCTCGTTAAAGGCTAGGTGGTTCGTTTCAGAATTCACTAATGAAAGAACTCTGTATTCTATGTCTAGGAGTGTATTTTGCTGGGATGATCATAAATTATAGCTGAACTGATAAACTACACACAGGATACTTCTTGGCTCACAAGGCAGGAAGACGTTTCCTTATTTGGTCTGTACCGGTTTGAACTGGGAAAGCTGACACACGAACCTTTTTTCATCTATATAAACTGCTGTGTATCAAATAAACCTTTGAGTCGATTTGGGAAGACAACCTGAAGCAGTCTGTGTTTCCTTGTTCTCCCAAGCTGCTCCCGACGTCGTAACTAACCCAGCTGAATGGCATACCTGAGTGTTACTTTAAATAATTAGGAATCTTATAAGGAAAGGACAGAACTCTGCTTATCGCTCACGCCACGGAGGAAACCCGGGAAGGCAATTTCCTTCAATTTTGGTGTCAGAAGTGGGATGACTGACAGAAGGTAAATATGCGTCTTTCATATTTATATAAAGACCTATTATACCTCTCTCAGTGATCGATCCATAAAAAAACGGGATATGCTGACGAAGTTTCACTTAGTGATCCAGAGAGATACACTGACTGACTTCCTCAGTCCCCGAATAAAGTAAATTAACCCTTGTGTGGTGTTGGTGGACCCGCTAGAGTTGTGGCTTTCCAAATTAACACTATCAAACAATTTTATGTTAAATTACTATGAATTAATGTGCTTCTCGTTTTTCTTTTATATAAAATGTTATAAATAAATCAGTTATAATCAAGTGGAAAGACAACACATTTATACGTAAAAAATAATAATAATAATAATAATTAATTGTTTAATTTTTCTTTAAAAAAAACAAAAAAAACAAAACACGGGTCTCAAGGGTTAAAAGCAGTAAATTAAAAGCAGAAAGACACAGGAAGTTGCCTGTTGTTTTACGAGAAGTTGCTCGCTAAGTGAGAGTTGCTCACACAAACAAAAAATTGCTAGCAATAAATTTAAAGTGACCTCAGCTGTGCCGCAGCGAAAATACTAACCTAAATCCTCCTAGCGTGTAAACCCCTCTGGAAATCACTGAACATGGGTCAGAATTATTCAAAGACCACAGACAGGTCCGATAAAAAATCTAAAGTACCTGTAAAACCAAAAATTAATAAAATACAAAATAAAGTCTCAAATAACGGCTCAGTATAACTCCCATTTCCGGTTACGTGTAACCTACGTCCGCGAATCGGTGAAGACGTCCATGATCACGTATCCAGAACATGCGGGAGTGCTTATGTGACTGACTTTGTTTACAACTTAAGAAGTTCAATGCATTCTAATTTCTTTTCGGAGCCTTATCCCGAACGATTATCGCCAGAAAACAGGTCAGTAGAAATGTTGAATATCATTTGTGATAAGAAAAGTAGTCTGCTTAAAAAGTCCTGTAGAATATATGATAGAATGCCGCGACGTGATGCGTCAAATGTTACCGCTATGGACAAAAGGAGGGTAAATAATGACAAAGTCGCCGATTTCTTTAAGAATCTAAAGAAATTCCTGCTAACAATGTCCAGAGACAAAATTGACTTAAATGCAGTAACTATGTGTAAACAGAAGCCTGATGAATCCATCCTAGTATTCATAAAACGCTTTATGCACTGTTGGACAAGCTAGAGGTGCAAATTCAGCTCAGTTTTCCAGCAGCCGCAGACACCCAAAGCAAAAATGAATTTGTGTATTTAATTTAACATAAAGGGTGAAATGTTTGCTGACACTGATAACAGCTTATGTTTTCTCTGCCCTATGTACCGACATGATGGAGAAGGAACATCCTCTGTGTCAGCTGGACCCTCAGCAGAGAATGAACTCAACATCCTTTTTGTCCGGTACTCTATGTCACACACTGTGCCAAAAAAAAACGTGTACAGACGCCACTAACAGGTAATCCCATATCTGGGAGCCACACTTTTGTTTCTCTCACACTGTTCAACAACATGATAACTGCTCACACAAGTGAAGGTCAAACAGTGATTTTGTCACATAACTCAGACATAGGTTATGATATAACTACACCATGTCGTCACATAGATCTAACCTACCCTATCCACTGTACTATTTCTGCACTTACATTGCCAGCTGAATACCAGAATATGACATTGTGGTCAAAAAGTGAGAATGATATAGGATTTATTGACTGTACACTTTATCACGTACACCTATTAAAACACAACAAGCTAGTATATGTCAAGCAACATCCCCTCTCCACGGAAAAAGCCGCAGCTCTAGATGTCATCATAGGAGATTTATTGACTACAGGAGTAATAAAGCCCAAACTCCTGTCAATCCTGTGCCAAAGCCTAACAAACCTGGCGTATGGCGTTTCATACAAGACTTGAGGCAAATTAATGCAGTCAACATTCCTCTGCCACCTCTCGTTTCAGATGTTCACAGCATATTGACATGCATTGCATACACATTTTACCGTGGTGGATTTATGCTCCGCTCCTTTTTCTCAGTACCTGTGACACACAGCCGTTATTTGCATTCACACATAGAAATAAGCAGTACACTTGGACTCGTTTGCCCCAAGGCATGATAGACAGCTCTGCTGCTTTCTCAATGGTGCTCCACTCCTCCAGGGCTGCACCCTGATCCACATGTGGATGACCTCCTCCTCTGTGCTGAAAGTGAAAAAATATGTCAAACTGCTACACACATGCTTCTCCAGCACCTCCAAAAGACTGGCCACAAAGCATATGCAAAGAAAATGCAGTACTGTCAGACTTCTGTTCAATATTTGGGATTCACACTGTCTCACGGAAAACGTTCCATGACTGCAGACAGGGTCAAAGCTGTGACCTCCGTCCCTCGTCCCACTACACAGAAGGAAATGTTGTCCTTCCTAGGCATGGTGAACTATTGCAGACAGTGGATACCAGACTGTTCTTTTCATGACCACATTCTGCGTGACTGTTGTAACAAAAAAAAAGACAAGCCTCCTCGAATACTGTGGTCCACAGAAATGACTGCCTCTTTCAATGCATTACAGGGAGTGCTGACCTCCGCCACTCAAAGGTGCTGCCTGAATTGTTCAGGAATGCCGGCCTGCCTGAGGGCAGTAGCAGCTTGCTCTATCATGATAAGGGACTGCGAGAAGCTTACACTCTCACATGACACTATTCTACACACCAATCACCAGGTCACGACCATTCTAGCAAACATAACTACACAAGACATGCAAATCTCACTATAAAAGCGAGCAGCACACCTGATTCGCCATGACATTTATTGATACTATTCTGTGTTCTTCTGACCGACAGGATGGCTCAGACAGGCTTGATGTTCATGACTGCATGACACGCATACAGGAATCCACAGCACCACGTCCAGATTTAGAGCAAACACATATCCCAGACTCAGCCACGGTTTATGTGGACGGGTCCTGTTCAAGGCCGAGTGACAACTCATTTCTTTGTGGCTATTCAGTGGTAACAGTGCCTGACATCATACTAGAGGCTCACTCATTACCATTTCACTCAGCACAAAAAGCAGAGCTCATGGCTTTAATACGCGCCTGTGAGCTACATTTGGATAAGCATGTGACAATTTACGCACACAGCCGCTATGCATTTGGCGTTGTGCATGACTTTGGCACATTGTGGAGACAGAGAGGATTTAGATCTGCTGATGGAAAATAAATTGCTAAATTCTGATTTTGTTCAAAGACTTTTTCAGGCTATACAGCTACCATCGGCCATTGCAGTTGTAAAAACGAAAGGACACAGTACAGCTGACACAGACGAAGCAACAGGTAATGCCTTAGCAGACGTGACAGCCAAGGCTGCAGCTGCATCACAGCTCCCACCGCCGCAGGAAGTATTATCTGTGCCCCTACAGCTGCCACTTGTTACACTCCCAGACTATTTAGACACAAATGTTGATTTAAAATTCATACAAGAGCAAGCCTCTGCATGTGATTACACCTATTGGAGAATAATGACTGTACCTTAGATGACAGAGATGGCTTATACAAAATCTTAAGGGTTTGATTGCCCTCCCATCTTCCCTACTGCCAGTCCTTGTCCGACATTTTCACGGTGTGAGTCATGTCGGACAAAGAGGGGTAATAGGGGCAATAAAATCAAGATTTGTAATTGAGAAAACATGACATGCAGTAAAAAGCATATTAGCAACCTGTCTAACATGTGCGCGAACTAATGTAGGTAGCTCAAAAGCAAAACATCAGCATTTACCATAACCAGATTTTCCATTTCATACATTACAAATTGATTTTACACATATGCCAGCGCAAGGAAGTATCAAGTACTTACTGGTAATAGTGGATCAATTTAGTAAATGAGTAGAAGCTTATCCAACATCAAAAGAAACTGCAGAAGTAGTCTGTCAAAAGTTGAGCAATGAAATAATACCCAGATTCGGAATACCAGATTAACAGTGATAGAGGACCTTCATTCACATTAGAAGTAATTCAAAAGTGTGCTAAAACTTTAATGACCTGGGTCAAATTACTTACTCAAGTCCTGTGTGAGATTAGAATGACTCAATCTGAAGTAACCAAATTATTTCCATTTGAAATAAGACTATTTCCAACACCATGGTCAGCTTCCAGAGGGGCACCGCTAGTAGAAGGTGATGTATATTGCATTGTCCACTGATGTTCACAACCTGGTAGAAAAACTGAATAATAACTATCAGAAAGTTTGTCTCTCTCAGCTTTTCCCCTCCACAGTTCCACCAGTGGAGACAAGGAGACGCATGTTGGAGAAGCCACTAAAACCAAGGACACTCTGGGAGGCCGCGTTTTCCAGCCCCCAGGCTTTACTGGCAGTGACGAAGAACCAGCATCCTCACAGACGGACAACCTCAGTGGATTCATGCCAGCAGGGTTAAGACCAGCCCAATCGGACCATCTCAGGCGTCGGATCAAGCAGACGACATCTCCGGCGAGCCAGCGCCCGGAACTAGAGCAAATAAACACACGGGTAGATGACATCTCCGGCGAGCCAGCGCCAGGATCCAATTTACACACACACACAATCACTGATTAAGACACAACGTCTGAAAGAACAACAACAAGGTACTCAAACATCCAGCAGGAACAGAAAGCCAAAAGTACCACATGATGTCTAACCTGATAAAGCCAGACTCATTTCATCCTGATAATGGAGAAAATGGAATGCCCATTGTCATCATACGACGCTTATTCAATGTCTCTCGAACCTGGGACCAGGCCAGGAGACAACTGAAGAACTGTTTTTCTTATATACTTTCTCATATATTTAGGTTATTTATTATATCTATCGCATTAACGTTAAGATTTCTCTTTGCTATTTTGTATTGTAAACTGCAACCATGTTCACATTTCTGCAGGTCATATTTTGCTGACTATACCTCATGCTCCATTTTGCAAGACACCTACTTAATGCACTCCTCACGCTCCCTAAAATCAGTAAATAGCAACATAGACGCCACTAATAAACCATCTTATGCGCCCTCTAGAACAGGAGCTAACGCCTGGTATGAAAATGCCAGAACAGCCGCTCGTGATTTAGGAAACAGTAACTGTTATGTCTGTTCAAAGGCTGATCCAGAACAGGTAATAGTAGGATACCCCATATCCGGTTTCCCCCTCACTGAGGGACTAGAGAAAATCAGCGGAGATAATGCTCTCTTTAAAAACGCTTTACAGTTGACTCTGAGCCCTCTCGACTGCCTACTTAGACACACACACACACCAACTAACCCTGAGACTCCATTAGGCGAATTATTGAAGTTATCTGATGACACCGCAGGGACCTGCGCCCCAATGAAACGCCCTAAGAATAGGTTAAAGCCCTCACTGCCCTTAGGACAGATCCCTCTCCATTTTAATACTAGTATGATATGTCTGCGCAGACTAAAGTTAACTGGCCCAGACACACACATAGATTATACAAAGGATAACTATACATTCTTCTCTGACTCCCCAGGTGCACGCTGTAATGAGACATGGCTAGCTGTCTCTGTGGCTGAAGTTGTATCATATCTGGAGGAACACACACACAGTTCAAGTTCGAGCAGAGAATCGATCATTGTTCCCCCAGAGGGTGTCTTAAATGATACTGACTGGGGGGTGTTAGTTAAATCACACATGGTCACGCGCCTAACTAGAGCAATCCCACATGCTTATTGGATGTGCAATAATACTCTTAGATTAGCTTTACCTGTTAATTGGACCGGTACCTGTGGTTTAGTAACCGTTGATGTATGCTGTACTTTCATTCCCAATAACACCGCTCCTAACGGTTCATTCACACAAGCTATGAATAAACTTGAAGCATTGCAGATAGAACTAATTGCCAATGCAGGTCACGGTCAGTGGCTAGATAAGTGGCTACAGGACACGTTTGGGAGATGGAAGGAACTAATTGTAGCCTTTGTAACCGTTGCAGCATGTTTTTGATGATTATTGTCTGTTGTGTAGTACCCTGTGTACGTTCAATGATAACCCGTATAGCTACTAGTACAGCTACTTCAATGTATTTGCAATTGGCACAAATTGACCCAGATTATGTGTCAGATGTCATCAATGATGTTCCTGATGTGTATATTGAACATTAGGTTGTGAACTATTACATTTTATGATTTGCTTTTTATATTATGTTATTACATTTGTGATTTTTCCTTTCTATTTGAGTTATTATTTTTAAAAAATAATAAAAGAGGGGAACTGTTAGGTATTTTAGTACCATGGTAGCATTTACAGAAGATTGTTTTATACAGGAAAACTGTTACTCAATAAGGCCCATCTACTAGTTGTTTTTCTCTTTCTCTGTGACCCAAGAATTAATGTGTAAGACTCACAAGCTGGTACCTGAAGGTCAAAAACACCACAGAGATGAGACCACTTCCTTACTCCCATCCTCCCTTTTTCTTTATCTCCTGGAAAAGGCTCGTTAAAGGCTAGGTGGTTCGTTTCAGAATTCACTAATGAAAGAACTCTGTATTCTATGTCTAGGAGTGTATTTTGCTGGGATGATCATAAATTATAGCTGAACTGATAAACTACACACAGGATACTTCTTGGCTCACAAGGCAGGAAGACGTTTCCTTATTTGGTCTGTACCGGTTTGAACTGGGAAAGCTGACACACGAACCTTTTTTCATCTATATAAACTGCTGTGTATCAAATAAACCTTTGAGTCGATTTGGGAAGACAACCTGAAGCAGTCTGTGTTTCCTTGTTCTCCCAAGCTGCTCCCGACGTCGTAACTAACCCAGCTGAATGGCATACCTGAGTGTTACTTTAAATAATTAGGAATCTTATAAGGAAAGGACAGAACTCTGCTTATCGCTCACGCCACGGAGGAAACCCGGGAAGGCAATTTCCTTCAGTATGCACTGACATTGTTGTAGTGGCAGGACAATGAGGACTTGCTCTGTTTCCGCAGACGTGATGGGTCAATGGACGTCTACCATTGTTTCTCATTTCCTTTGGGGAAATGAGCTCAGAATGCTACTAATAAAAAGTAAAGGAAGCAGTGTGTCAGTGTCTGCGCATTTTAACAGTTATAAGTTACCAAGGTATAATCTATAGGTGAAAAATCTTTTTACATTTGGGTTTTAATATTAATTATTTTGAATCCTACTAATGAGCCAAAAGAAGTGATACTCACATTCATATATAAGATGTAAACGATAAAAAAGACAAACAAGTACATTTCATACCATTTGTTTACTATTAGCTTTAAATTCACATACTCGTTTTGAAACAGAACCTAAACAAGTCACTTACGTATAGTTCCAAACCATAATGTGTGGGATATAATACTGTATATGGAATATTTCTGTTTTTTATTCAGTGACACAAACTGTAGCCGAACAATATCCTTGCCACTACCCTCCATCTTGTTATACAGGCACGTTTGCTTTAGCCTTGCATTTTATGCCTTTCCAAATGAAAATGGCAGATAAACCGCATAAAATTCCCAGGACAAGTGCAGGGGCGCCTAGAGCCAGGGCCACTGTGGTATTAGCTCCCACTGCAATGACCACCCCAGCAAACACCAAGACAACAGCAGAAGCTGCGGCCACGCGTATATTCTTTCTTTGAACCTTTTTCTTCCTGATTTTCTTTTCCTCCTGCTTCTGTCTCTCTGCATCCCATATTTTCCTTTCCTCCTCTTTCTTCTGTTCCTCCTCTTGCTTCCTCCGCTCCTCCTCCTCTCTCAGCTTCCTCTGGGCTTTCTCATACATTTCATTTGTGTAGTGCTTACCGCCGTTATCCTGTACCATTTCCTTGATCATGTTGATCAGCTCTTTTACCTGTACGCGGTCATCCACGTCAGTGTTGTTGAAAGCATGATATCTGCGTCCAAATGTGATCGAGAGTCTCCGCAGCTCCTTGCACTCCTTCAGAGCATTGTCAGCTTTAGCTTGATCTTTACACGTAAACAGCATGATTGTGTACATGGAAGCATCGTCTCCAAAGTTATCTTGGATCCACTTAACAGCATTTCTTTCCTCTTCCGTGAACCTTACTCCAAGCCGGATTACCAGTAGGAAAGCATGAGGGCCAGGAACTGACATTTTGACACACTCCTCTATTCTGACTTTTAATTCTTCCTCTGAGATGCCTGTATCAAACAGACCCGGAGTGTCAATAACCTGCACCAAGGTCCCATCCACTTCCCCATTCTGCATCTCACAGTGTTTGGTCACAGACACAGGGCTGGGATCCTCTTTGAAGGCAATTCTTCCAAGGATAGTGTTTCCTGTTGCACTCTTCCCTGATCCAGTCTTTCCCACTAAGACTATCCTCAAACCTCCAGACAAATCCAGACCTGTGGTAGAAACAACAGACACAGAATTACTGGCATTTACAAAAAATGGGATCCTTTCTTTTCTGCCTTTTTAGTCTTAAGTTAGTGTGGGGTTTTTTTTGTTGTTGTTGTTTTTTAATTTAATCTCTGGACTGTCTGGAAAAAAAAAGCCTTTAGCATATTTTCCTTGAAATATACTATTCATTAATTTGTTGTTGTTTTAAAAAAATAATAATAGTAAATAAAACAACATTTATATATTGTTGTTAGTTACTGTTCTTACTGTCTTGGAGCTCCTGTGATCTTTGACCAAATAATTTCCCCTGGGATTAGTAAAGTATTCTGATTCTGATACAAAATTACTGAAATTAGAGTAGAACAGCTACTAGTAGATTCGAGTGACTAGAGAGAAAATGAAGGAGCATACCATCAAAGTTATTCAGACCACACCCATCAGACCGAGGTAGAGTTTTCTGCTTCTTTTCTCTAAGTTGTATTTCTGTCACAAGTTACACCATTGAGAGAAAAAAAGGTAAGATTAGTCACTGACATCTTTAAGAAGGTCTGTATCTTTTTGACTTTGCCTCTTTTGCCCTTTTCAGTGTATCAATATCACATCCTAGAGTAATTAAATAATTAGTGCATTTTTAAACTAGTTCAGAGAGATGATCTTACCTTCAGCCATTACTTCAGATCTTGCTTTATATGTCCCAGGTGGCCAAGTCAGTTTTTTCAGACCTGAGTTCTGAACTTAGACAAGACAAACGTAGACTGTGTCTCGACACATTTCACATTAACTTTGTGGGAAACTTCTGGAAGCCTAGGCACTGGGGGGCTTCCCATTTCCTTGTATTGTTTTCAGTTTGAAATTTGAAAACTGTCTGTGTAGGCTGTCCGCAGCCCTCTAAATATCGTTAACAGGTTTGTGTTTGGACATTGCTGAGAAGTTTTCATAGCAAACCAACAAAAATATTAAGGTTTCTCATTTAATCGCATAAGAATATTTTATTATTTATATAAAATGTATATATTTTACAATAACTCTATAATGACTTTGCTCTCTTTTTAAAGGAGCATGAGGGGGTCAAGAATATCTCTCAAGTTCATCTTATTCTTTTTAAAAAAAAATGTAAAGAAATTTAAAATAAAAGAAAAGGATCTGTCTGAGCCTAGAGTTGTAGGTCAGTACAGATGAAAAGGGTTTTACTTTGGTAGATGTTTGGTATTTGAAGTAATAATAATGACAGATTGCATTTATATAGCGCTTTTCGAGACCCTCAAAGCACTTTACAATTCCACTATTCATTCACACACTGGTGGAGGCAAGCTAAAGTTGTAGCCACAGCTACCTGGGGTAGACTGACAGAAGCGAGGCTGCCATATCGCGCCATCGGCCCCTCTGGCCATCACCAGTAGGTGAAGTGTCTTGCCCAAGGACACAACGACCGAGACTGTGTGAGCCAGGGCTCGAACCGGCAACCTTCCGATTACAAGATGAACTGCCAACTCTTGAGCCACGATCACCCATGAGCAAAGTCTCTTGTTTGTTTCCCATTTTAATTGACAAAAAAAGCGAAACTATAAACAAACAGTCAATAGGTAAATAAGAATGGAAAACAAGTGTATTCAAAAATTCCTTTCATGCGGATGGATGGAATGCACAAACATTTTAAAAGTACATGTTATTGAAAGTTATTATTTGCCACATTCTTAGCCATTATTTTCACTTTTTTCCATCATAGAACTCATACCTAAGGAAAAAGGTCCATTGTGCCATTTAATTGAATGTGTCCAAGTGCTCCAACTAATGTCACCAGAACATATGAGGGGCAACATGCTTCTACACCAAAAGGTCCCTGGCAAGTCTTCGCTCTTCCTCCACTGTTATCCTCTTTACTCCAACTCCAACTCCCAACCACCAATGTTTGTTTCACACAGCAAAAATCTACAGTAAAGCTAAAGACATTTTGTATCATTATGTTTCAGATTTAATGTAAGATCCATCCATCCATTCGCTTCCGCTTATCCTTTTCAGGGTCGCGGGGGGCGCTGGAGCCTATCCCAGCTGTCACAGGGCGAAAGGCGGGGTACAACCTGGACAGGTCGCCAGTCATAATATACAATAATATTATTTAATATCTATTCCTATTTCAAAATATACAAATAAAAGCTTATTTTTTCATTTTCTTTTGCAGGCCAGTAAAAATGTAGATGGGGCACTAAAACTCTGAAACATCAACCTCAGACTGCTGGGTTAGACTCTGGTTTAATATTATCTTAATTAACATTAACACCATCAGAATGTTATTAAATGTGCAACGACCACGAGGTCCTTTCCAGGATTACAAAAACACATTCATTCATTCATTCATTCATTCTCAAGCACAATTAAACACTCAGATTAAGCACACACAAGATAGATAGACAGATGCAAATATAACTGAAATAACAAGAGAAAAGAAACTTAAAAACATCAAGTTTTCATTAATATCTGTATGTACACAATGTTTATGCTCGAAAAGGAGTAACGGGAAGAACAATTACATTCTCTTCCACTAGAGGGCAGTACAACTTCTTGCTCCAATTAAATGGGATGCAACTTCCCATAAAACTGAAGAAGACAAAGAAATTACATGCTGCAAGTGAGACAACGCAGAACGCAGTATAGATGAATATTTGAAGGAGAAAAAAAAGTAGTCAATCTGACCTGGGTCCTGGAGAAAATTCCAAATCAGATAAAGGTCCTAGCATGAGTAGTGGTCAGAAGAAAGCAAAAAAAAAAAAAAAAAAAAAAGAAAAAAAAAAAAGGTATATTGGGGACAAATCAAGCCAATTTCACTATGCCTGGTGTGCAGAGAAAAATTACATATTTGTTTGGTGGTGTGCCATGTGATTTTTCTAATGTGAAATATGTGCAGTGGCTCCAAATGGTTGGGAAACACTGTCTTAGAATATACACCAGGAAAATGTGGTTTTGAATTTGCACTATATACATAAATTTGAACTGAACTAAATGAGGATGGTTCTACTGTGGTACATTGTTACGGTGCGATGAATTTAAAATATTAATATATCTACAAATCTGTTTCACAGTTGTTTCACATATTCTTAAATTGTGATTTGACAAAAAATACTCTATTAAAAAAACAGTCACATTAGATTAGAAATAAATGCAACATAAAGTAAATATAAAGTGAATTCAAACGTAATTTAAAACCACCTAATTCCAAATGACATTTGATTTGATGCCCAGTGTGTTAGCCATTATATATTGGCCTTTTTGTTTTGTAAAGGTGTAAGGCCCAAGTAAGCATACTTATTATGCAATTAAAGCCAAGTCCTGAAGCTACTGCCACGAGAAAAGGTGAGGTATAAAACAGCCCTGCACCCAAAAGTGCTGCAGATGTATATAATATCATTTTACACCACTCTTTTAATTTGATCCTCTCCTCTTCTTCCCTTTTTCTTTGCTTTTCCTCCCTCCTCCTCGTTTCCCTTTTTTCTTCAAGCCTCTTCTGGGCTGTCTCATACATCTCATTGGTGTAGTGACGTCCACCATTGAAGTCCACCATTTCCTCTATTTTATCTAGAAGATTTTTGACCTGTTTTCTGCTTTCTTTCTGATTATTGATGAGTGAATGGTACCTTCCTCCACACTTGTTTATCAGTGTTCTAAGATGTATGCTTTTTTTATAATAGTCTTCCACTGATTTATCCTGCAGCAGGTCACCATGTGTAAACAGAACTATGATGTATAGGGAAGCTTCGGAACCAAAGTTTTCTTCAATCCACGTGACAGCATCCTGTTCCTCTTGTGTGAACCTTGACTTCAGGCTGATGACTAAAAGGAAAGCATGCGGTCCAGGAACTGACTGTTCAATGCACTCCTCAATTTTTGCTTTCACTTCATCTTGTGTTTTGGTTGTGCCAAACAGTCCTGGAGTGTCAATCACAACAATTTTTCTTCCACTTTTGTCTACCTCTTTTCTGAGACAGCCATCAGTAACAGACTCAGGTGAAATGTCCTCTTTGAAAGCGTTTGTATCGCCCAGAATGGTGTTTCCAGACGCACTCTTTCCTGACCCTGTTTTACCAACCAGGATGAGTCTCAGTTCTTCATGATATGCAGAGTCTGTGGAAAATTAATGATAACATTTGAATTATGTGAAGGAGTGTGCATGAGTGACACAACTTTTGACAGTGATTCTGTGCTTGCAGTTTTTAGGTTCTAGTAACCTCTTAATGTTACTGTAGAAGTTAATAACTGCACAAATAAGTGGCTGAAGGCACTTCACTGTATAGTCTTGAGACTTGCCATTAAAGTGAGTTTGACTGTTTACCTTAAGAAACAACATTCAACTTTATTTGTTTTATATACATAAATATATGTTTTCAAATACAGAAACATTAAACTGACTCCAGAAAACAGATTTTATAGATGAACAAGGCAAAGTACGAAACTAGGCTATTTGCTAATAACGTGTTAAATAAAATATATGTTTATAACATGTTATAAACAAATTTTCTGCAAATGAAGTCATTTATACAGCAACATATGTGAACACTTGTTATCTTTATGTATTCATGACTAACCGGCTATACAAGTTCTTATTCTACTTACCTTTGTGTTGATTTTGCCAGTGAGCAGTTTGTCCACATAACGTGAGTAACACCAGCAGGATGGATCCTTGGATCCAAGGTTTTGATGCCAACATTTCAGTAAATGCTCAAAAACTTTACCAAGAAAAGAAAAAAAGGAAAAACGTTAAAGGAAAGTCTTTCAAACCAGATAGCAAGTAAAAGTTTATGAACATACACTGGCGTACAATATGATCCACAGGCATAAACTGAGATTTAGAAATGTGTACAGTCATTTGTGTGTAACTTCTGAGGACTCACAAATGCGTGCACCCATCCACATACACAAATATGAAGCAATTTGACAATACGTAAAATTATTCAACAAATGCTTCCCTCCGAACCTAAATTAATAGTGACTATTTACGCAAAATTTATTAAGGTGAGCTTCACGGATCGGATAAATGTTTGAAAAAAACAAGTAACGCCTGCTTCGCTCACTTACAGAACTTTAAATGCGCGTGCACCAATCGCCCAATGTACAAAGCTGGCAGTCTGAACTGTTGTTCAATTGATATTCTACTAATACTATAACTGCTATCAGTTGACAAAACATTAAACACCTTGTTCCAGATTGCGCACAGGGCACACAAGCTAATTAACTAAGTAGAGCTAAGTGATCCGGGCTAAATGCTACGCCAAGGTAAACGGTGTTACCACTAAAGACGACGTACATCTATTTCTAAGAGCTGTGCAACACAGCCAGGAGCCTTACGAACATAACACCAGGCACTTTTAACTCACTAATGGTGTAGAGACGTTATAAAACAAGTGTTTCGGCAGGTTGCCACATACCTCTGTTAATTTGCACCACTTTTGCAAAAGTTCCTAACGAGTTCTGTCCGCACTTCACAAAAAAGCCTTCAGCTTGTTTGGCGCTGTGAATCTTTTAATATGAAGCAGCAGCAGCAGGAAGGTGATAGGTTTGTATCAACGCTAGCTTCAACAGTTTTGAATCAAGTGTTGAATTCCGTTTCAGTGCAAGAATCGTTCATCTATCAAAATATTTAAATGTTTTATTTTGAAAGTACCCGTCCAAGTGCTTCCTCAGGTGTCCAGTAGCTGTTAGGTCAGCAGCTTCTTTCAGGAAACACATTCATTTCACTGAAAAACACTACTTAAACCAAGAGGAATGACTGACTGAGGCTAAGTATGAAAATGAAAATCAGCCATTATAATTTAAACATTTATTTTATTGTTGCAAAATTATACACTGAGAAACCTTTGAATAAACAAACCCCTGCCCCTAACAGAGAAAGCATGCACATTTTCATTTTATTTTAAAATTAACAAAGTAGTAGTTCAAATAGTGATTACTGAAAACTATTTCTAAACTCACTTCTGGATCTTTTTTTGTTTTTAATTTCCAAGTTCCTCTGTCTATATGACAGAAGATGATAGAAGTTGAGTTATACTAAGGATCATATAAATGACTCAGTAGAGTAAAATAAATATGCTATATGAACACACTACAAAGTATTTCTTTATTAAGTAGTCAGTTTTATGTAACAAAAAACCCTGTCAAGTGATTGGTCAGAAATGGCACCACAGTATTATATAATAAAAAGTACAACCATCACTGGATGCCTGACTTATTTTTTTCTTTGCTGGAGGAGTGGTGTAGGTTTAGTGGTCCTATCTCCCACACTTAAGTAAACATTCCCATTGTGCAATTTAACTGAGAATATCCAAGTGCTCCCCCTATTGCCATGAGAGCATATGATGAAAAGTATGCTCCTGCACCAAATAATCCCAGGGAAGTGAGACCAAGAAATTTACACCACTCTTTTAATTTGATCCTCTCCTCTTCTTCCCTTTTTCTTTGCTCTTCCTCCCTCCTCCTCTTTTCCCTTTCTTCTTCAAGTCTCTTCTGGGCTGCCTCATACATCTCATTGGTGTAGTGACTTCCTCCATTCAATTCCACCATTTCCTCTATTTTATCTAGAAGATTTTTGACCTGTTTTCTGCTTTCTTTCTGATTATTGATGAGTGAATGGTACCTTCCTCCACACTGGTTTATCAGTGTTCTAAGATGTATGCTTTCTTTATAATAGTCTTCCACTGATTTATCCTGCAGCAGGTCACCATGTGTAAACAGAACTATGGTGTATAGGGAAGCTTCGGAACCAAAGTTTTCTTGAATCCACGTGACAGCATCCTGTTCCTCTTGTGTGAACCTTGACTTCAGACTGATCACTAAAAGAAAAGCATGGGGTCCAGGAACTGACTCCTCAATGCACTCCTTAATGTTTAATTTCACTTCATCTTGTGATTTGGTTGTGTCAAACAGCCCTGGAGTGTCAATTATAACAATTTTTCTTCCACCTTTTTCTACCTCTTTTCTGTGACAGCCATCAGTAACAGACTCAGGTGACATGCCCTCTTTGAAAGCGTTTGTATTCCCCAGAATGGTGTTTCCAGACGCACTCTTTCCTGATCCTGTTTTACCAACCAGGATGAGTCTCAGTTCTTCATGATTTTTAGAGCCTGTGGAAAATTAATGATAGCATTTGAATTATTCGAAGGAGTGTGCATGACTAACATGACTTTTTAAAACCTTGGATGAACAAGGCAAAGTCCGACACTAGGTTATTCATTCACATGTGTTCACTAAAAATATATTTAAATAAACACAATGAACTATATTAGAAACAAATCTTCTTTAAATTAAGTCATTTATACTACAACACAGGTGAACACTTGTTATGTTTATGTATTTATAACAAACTGGCTGTACAAGTTCTTATTCAGCTTACCTCTGTATTGATTTTGGCAGTCAGCAGTTTGTCCACATAATGTCAGTAACACCAGCAGGATGCATCCTTGGATCCAAGCTTTTGCTGCCAACATTTTAGTAAACTAGCAAAAACCTTTACATAGAAACGAAAAAAGGAAAAGCATTAAAGGAAAGTCTTTCTAATCAGATCGCAGGTAAATATTGAACTACACTGAGAATATATGTTGAATAAATCATGCCCCAAATTGGGGGCATGTAGACTTTTTATAGAAACTCTATCAATAAAATTCGTCTTCTATTGAAAGATTTAAAGGTTCTATTTTGAACGTACCTGTGCAAGGACTTTCTCTTGTGTACAGTAAACTGCTGGGTCACTAGAATCTTTCAAAGCAGACAGGACACGCCCACTTTGCATTTCCAAGGAAAACAATACTTAAACCAATGTCGGCTGAGCAGCACCAGCCAGTGATGACAAGAGGAATAGCATCATGTTCAAGTGAAAGCAGACCTACAGTGTGACGGTAGGTCTGCTTTCTCCAGAAAATGAATGCATTGAAACAAAAATAGTTTTGCATATGAAATTAAAAAAAAAATACAGTCATTTAAAGAAAAAAATACGTTGACCTCTATAACTTGATTAATACAGATGTGAAGAGCAGGTTTGTGGGTAATTACATTTTTTTTTCACAAATACCCTTTTATAACCTAGTTTGTCTCACATAATTGATAGTGACTATAGAACACCAGCAAAATAGGCAAGCATTCAGTAGGTAAGTAAATATATAAATTATCTTAGAACAAGAAGTCATTAGAAGTAAAATGAATAACAGCCTTTTTTATTAGAACAATGATTTTATTTTTTGCACAATTATACACAGAGAAACTGTTGAATCAAATAAACCCCTGCACCAACAGAGAAAACACCGGCATTTTTATTTTATTTGAATATTAACACACTAGTAATTCAAGTAGTGATTACTGAAAACTATTTCTTAATTTATTCTTAGATCTTTTTTGAATGTTTAAACTTGTTTCAACCTTAAGAAACAACGCTCAACTTTTTTTTTTTGAAAACTAGGTCACATTAAAATCCAACACCAGTTCCTTGAATTCAGTGAAGTCATGCTACAAACATGGTTCTATAACTACAGGAAAAAAGTTTAAAATTACATACAAGTATGATTTCAAATTCAGAACCATTAGCCTGACTCGGCTGTCGGAATCTGTCGGAAAACAGATTTGCTGGATGAACGAGGAAAAGTACAACACTAAGCTATTTTTAATGTCTTTTCATGTTCAAGTATTCATGACAAACCAGTTGCACAAGTTTCTGTGCCACTTACCTTTGTATTTATTTTGACAGTGAGCAGTGTGTCCACAGAGTGTAAGTAGGACAAGTAAAATACATTTTCTGGTAAAATATTTAACCTGTGCAAGTACTTTCTCGGCCATGCAATAAGTTGTTAGGTCAACAGATTCTTTTCTAAAAGGCAGAACACATCCACTGGTACACTGAAAACAATAACCAATGAGGAATAACCAGCTGAGCAGCCTAAGTAATGAAGAAGCCAGCCAGTGATGAGAATAATAATAATGTTTAAGTGAACACTGTTTTAGTGTGTTTGTATGTGTGCTTTATCCACAAAACATCAGAAATTCATTAAAACAAAATCATTTTGCTTATTAAATTTAATAAAACAATAATTTAAAGAAAAAATAGGTTGACCTTTTTTACCCTGACTCCTATGGATGTGACAAGCTGGTTGGTGAGTATCTACAAGTTGCTTTTAAACATAACAGCTGGTCTTATTTTCTTTCTGCAGGATTTACAAAAAGATAATAGGGAAATAACAACTTTTAGACACAATAATTCATAATATATAAATATATATATAATATAATATAATGTACAAGAAAATCTAAGAAAGCAAAACACTCTTTGCCAGAAATCCCTGGGCTCTTCTTCTTTTCCAAGGTGGCCAACCGGGAAAGTGGAATGTAGGAGGACAGAACTCAGCCCATGCAAATCAGATGCACCTGTGTCTCCCTCATCAAATAAAGAAAGAGGTTGGCTGTGGGTGAGTGCTTGTACTGTGCTCCTGCGCCATTTCATTAACACTTGCCCCATGTGGCCAAGAGAGACTGCTCATCAGTAACGGTGGGGATACTGAAAGGCAATGAAAATGATCCAACGGGATGGTCCGGACTGGCCTAATTTGAGAAACATGAAACACGTTGTGTACCTTCATGTTGCATGGGTGGGCCAGCCGGACAGTCACTGGATTCAGGACTCAGTCCGCAGAGTGATGTTCCTAGAGGAAAAGCCATAACTGCTGGCCCACCCGATAGGCCGGTGTAGGGACACGGCGGCGGTCAGCCAGTCTCTTGTTTTGTGCGCTCGTACGCAGTAGGGCCGCTCGAGTCGCCCGCCAGATCCGTCGACAGCGCCTCATGTGATGTTGCACGGAAGGTACGGCCACCTCTCCCTCCATGATGGAGAGGAGTGGGGGTTGATACCCCAGGGATGCTTCGAAGAGAGAGACGCCCGTAGCGGCCGACGTGCTAGAGTTATGGGCGTATTCGGCCCACGCCAACTGCTCACTCCATGACGACTGGTTGGAGGAAACGACGCAGCGCAGCATGGCCTCCAGCTCCTGGTTCGCTCGCTCAGTCTGGCCATTAGTCTGCAGGTGGAAACCAGAAGACAGGCTGACCTGGTCAAGAGCTGGGCAGTCTCTAGAGCGGTGGAGAGTTTGGTAAGGGCAAAAAATTGGGCAGCCTTAGAAAAACGGTCAATGATGGTGAGTATAACAGTTTTACCAGAGGACGGAGGGAGGCCAGTGATGAAGTCCAGAGCGACGTGCGACCACGGCCGGCTGGGGACAGGCAGTGGTCTGAGGAGTCCCGATGGAGGGGAGTTGGACGTCTTATTTCGGGCGCACACAGGACATGTGGCCACATACTCCCGGACGTCCTGAGAGAGAGACGGCCACCAAAACAGTCTTTGTAAAAGGGTGACAGTTCGGTTCCTGCCCGGATGGCAGGTAAACCGTGCGGTGTGTGCCCAGTGGATGACCTTACCCCTGACCGCTGAGGGAACATACAATCTACCTGCTGGACCGGTGCCCTTTCTATCTCCCAGGTGAGGGTCCCCACAATGCATGAGGCCAGCAGAATGGGCCTCTCCTTCTCCTCAGGGTCCGTGTCTGGCGCGAACTGGCGTGACAAGGAGTCTGGTTTCGTATTCCGGGACCCGGGCCTGTAGGTAATGGTTAGGTTAAACCGTGCAAAAAACAATGCCCACCTGGCCTGTCGGGCGTTCAGGCGCTTAGGCGCTTGTAGGTAGGCGAGGTTCTTGTGGTCCGTCCACACGATAACAGGATGTTCGCTCCCCTCCAACCAGTGCCGCCACTCCTCCAGCGCCAACTTGATGGCAAGAAGCTCCCGGTCGCTCATGTCATAAGTCCTTTCAGCCTGAGTGAGCCGACGGGAGGAAAAGGCACAGGGGTGTAATTTACCTTCCTTGCGCTGCGAGAGAACAGCCCCAACTCCCGAATCAGAAGCGTCCACTTCCACCACGAACGGCAGGGTGAGGTCAGCCTGGGCCAGGATGGGGGCCGAGGCAAACAGGCTCTTGAGACGGTCGAATGCTTGCTGAGCTGCTGGAGACCACAGGTACGGCTGTTTGGGCGATGTGAGTTGTGTGAGAGGCAATGCTACCTTACTGAAGTCCCGGATGAAACGTCTGTAGAAGTTGCTGAATCCCAGAAAACTTTGCAGTCGGAACTCCTAGGCCCCCTACTGACCCTCGCCCATCTCCAGTCCGCCTGCCAAACTCCCGCATATGGTCGTCTAGACTGATACACATGTTAACCAGGGCACTTAACGATTTAGGAAGCTCTTTAGTGGCCAACTCACGTTTGACATTCTCATTTAAGCTGTTTAGGAATGATCCTCAGAGCGCCTTTTCCTCCCAGCCCGTCTCCTCGGCCAAGATCCAAAAGTCCACGGAGAAGTCTGCCACGCTCCGCAGGCCCTGCTTTAAAGTAAACATGCGATGAGTAGCACTGTCAGGGTTAGATCCTTTGTCAAACACACACCGAAATTTGTTCAAAAAAATCACTATATGAGATGGAGGGTTGGGCGCTCGGGACTGCTTGAGCCCAGAGCAGTGCTCGTCAGGTCATGAGCTCCACCATGAGGGTGATCTTGGCAATATCAGAGGCATAAGCTCGAGTCTGCTGCCTAAAAATCAGAGAGCATTGAGTCAAAAATCCCCGGCTTTTGTCCAAATCTCCACTGAATTTTTCAGGTACAGGTAACGTGTGTTCTCGCTGTGGCGGAGGTGGAGATGGAGGAAGGGGACAGGCCGCTGCTACATTTAGAAGCTCTACTGGTGGTTGTGGTTGTGTAGGGGGCTCTGGTGGTTGAACGGGTGCTCTAGGGGTAGCAAGCAACATACCTTTCAGTTCAGATACCACCTGTAATAGCGTGGACTGCTCCTCGGCCACATGCTGCAGCATCTTTTCATGCCGCTCCAACCGTTCAGCTTGAAGCGCGAGCTCGGGAGTCAACGGGAGTTGAATCCGCTGAGTCCATTGCTGGCTGGATTGTTCTGTCACGGGTAATGGGAAAATACGGACTCAGTTGCGGAGCTCTGGATGGGAAGTACACAGTGCGTTTATTTACAGTGCCCAAAAACAGTCTCAAAACACAAAGTGAAGTGCAAAGTCCAACAGTGATCTTCTCCAAACTCCCAGTGGTGCGCAGGTGAGTTTCCAAAGTGATTATCCGAGTGTGTGTTCTCCTCCAATAGCTTAATCCCGCGGGCTCCTTCTCTCCAACCTCCAGCTCCGTATCACTTCCTCCTACAAACGAGCGAAAACAACAGGTGAGAAGGCTAGCCGGCTAAAGCTAAGTTGCAAGTCACAAAACACTCTTTACTACCGAGCTTCAAGTACAATCCAGCATCGACTGCCATCTGGACACACAGTTAAATACCTCAGCCCACGACGAAGGATGATTAGTGACAGCTGGATGGCAAATTAGGTGCAGGTGTGTCAGCCGCTGGGTGAAGGAGGAGGAGAGAGAGAGAGAAACACACACACATACACACACAGGCAGGTCGCCCCGGGAAGGACCGTCCGACCATGACACACACAAAGCTCAAACCAGTCTCACTCGCACTCTCACGAAACACGTTGAAAAAATATGATTTGTGTTTAAGCCCCAATTACTCCAGTTATACTCCGTCACCCCCGGCTACAAACTCACACCCTATACCTCGATTGGTAAAAGAATTGTGTGCCAGGGTGAAGTTGGTTTTGTCATGAAAACTGTTTAAGATCCGCAGCCCCCAACTTACCTTCCTGTACCTTCACTGTACAAGCACCACCCACCTAATGTCTCATCCACGCCCCCTGTGTACCAGGATTTAGCAGAAGTTTTTCATAAGGATCTTGTCTTGTCTTTCCTTCCACACCGACCCTATGACTGTGCTATTGACCTGTTACCCAGCGCACCACTTCCCACATGTAAGCTGTAGAGTTTGTCAAAGCCCAAACGTGAGATGATGAAAAAATACATAACAGAAATCAGAAATCAGAAATCAGAAAGGGTTTTATTGCCAAATGTTGAGCAGGTTTACAACATTAGGAAATTGCTGCGGTGCTTCACTGCAAACATACTGTTATAAATTACGTTTAAATAGACATGAAAATAAAAATAAGAGTAAGAATTAAAAGTGCTAAGTAGATAGATATATACATGATATATACATGAGTGCAGGTGGTGATCAGTGCCAAACATGGAATGGAATGATAACATGGATGATAACAGACTCTCTGGCCAAAGGTTTCTTTTAGCCGTCTTCCTCTCATCTCTGTGCTGTTTTTTTCTTTGTGGAAAAGAAAGTTAAGTCCCTTCAGCACTGCATAGATTTTTGAGGATTAAACATGATTACTGTGAAAAATAAGTACCCTTTGCCACGTCTTTCCTATGCTTGAGAGTCGTTACAGGGCGCAACCATTTTCAGCAAATTGGATCTCTGCAATGCCTACCACCTGGTAAGGATTAGAGAGTGAAAGATAGCCTTCAACCCTCACCTTGGACACTTTGAGTATCTGGTAATGCCCTTTGGACTAACTAATGCACCTGCTGTTTTTCAGGTCCTGGTAACAAAGTCCTGCGAGATTTCAGAAATCATTTTGTGATCGTGTATCTGGATGACATCCTGATCCTCTCCCAGTTCCTTAGTCATCATGAAGATCATGTAAGGTTAGTTTTGCAAAGATTACTAGAGAACAAGCTGCTCGTGAAGGTTGATGAATGTGAGTTTCATGCAGAGAAGGTCTCCTTTCTTGGCGAAAAGGGACATTTCCGTTCCAACTAGTCTTAAGTACAAGAAGTAATGAACTGACCTATTCCAGAAAACCGCAAACACTTGTAATGGTTCCTTGGCTTTATTATCTTTTAACACAGATTTATCTGTGACTTCAGTAGAATTGCTTGCTCCTAACCCAACTTATCTCACCTGGTTTCAGTTCCAGTGCACCACCATGGCACAAGATGCCTATGATAATCTCAAACACTGCTTCTCTCAGCTCCCATTTTGTCTTTACCGGAACTCTCCAAACAATTCTTCATGGAGATGGATGCAACAATCTGAAGGTTAAATGCACCCTTGGACTTTCTTTTCTCATCGTCTCTCATCCACAGAACAGAACAATGATGTTGGGTATCGACCAAGTCCATGCACAAAAATCTTATGAGTTTAAACTATCTAAAAATCGCATGGATTACAGTGAGACACTTCAGGTTTAAGCAGATGTCACATTAAACTCACTACATGTCACGTGTTTTTTACACCAAGTAAATCTCTTCTTCTTCTGATCATCATCAGCCTTTATGATCTCATCTTCAATTTTCTTCTGATCTCTTGTAGTCTATTGTCATGCAGCACTTTTCTTTGCAGTCTTCTTTCATTACTTTCTCTCTGGACCATTGGAAATGTATTTTGGCCCCTTGTTGTAAAACATAACAAAAGGTAGCTCATCTGTGTGTTCTTGGCTGGTTAAAAAGCTAGGTATTTCTCTTGATTTTGATTCCATTAAAAATTGACCTTTAAAAAATAATGCAACTATGTGCACAGCCCTCCCTCTAGTGAGCGTGGCTCAGGGGGTTGGGAAGCGTATCTATAACCGGAAGGTCGCCGGTTCGATCCCCGGGCTCTCTGTCCTGGTCGTTGTGTCCTTGGGCAAGACACTTTACTCTATCGCCTACTGGTGTTGGCCAGAGGGGCCGATGGCGCGATATGGCAGCCTTGCTTCTGTCAGTCTGCCCCAGGGCAGCTGTAGCTACAACCATAGCTTGCCTTCACCAGTGTGTGACTGCGAGAGTGAATGAATAGTGGTATTGTAAAGCGCTTTGGGTGCCTTGAAAAGCGCTAAATAAATCCAATCCATTATTATTATTATTAGTGAGCATTAGAAAGCATTGCAACATATATAGTACCAGGGGTCTAGGTGTCATTTGAAAACTGAATTGGAGACAAAGCATGGGGATGGCGATCCCCCATCCAGATTTTTTTTTTATTGTTCTAGATATTACATCTGTGTGTGTGTGTGTGTGTGTGTGTGTGTGTGTCCTGAAAGACCAAGAGAGTGAGAGAGAGAGATTTTGTTGGCAACAGCTGCTGAATAACTTTCAGAGCACAATAATCTGAGAAGCTAAACCAGAAGAACTGAACAGAGAAGAGAGGCAATGAGTGTCTGTGTGAATGTTTTCGCTTGTTTCAGTGTTAACATTATGTTTCTCTTCCATGTAATTGCGTGACAAGCTGCCAACTGTCTCCATCCTTATCTCTATGACATGATCTTGCTTTAGCTGCTGTGAATTAACAGCTGATTAGACTGTTGATAAACACAGTCCCCCATGCATAAGGTGTAGACAGCCTTACATTTCCACCTCATGTCTGATAATAGTGGTTCTTAAGGTCCGAACCTATATAGTTCGTTGTAAATGTAAAATACAATAAAGGACTATTCTATTCTATTCTATTCTATTCTATTCTATTCTATTCTAAGGAGAGCAGAAATCATACTATAAGAGAAAGTACCTTTAACAACTAAAGTACACAAATAAATATGTAAGCTACAAAAGCATAGATGGGCTTTGCAGCCTGCATGTTTTCTATTTCTATTCAGGGTTTAGGTGTTGAAGCGCTCAGCTCAGTGTTACCACTAAAGACGACGTACATCTATTTCTAAGAGCTGTGCAACACAGCCAGGAGCCTTACAAACATAACACCAGGCACTTTTAACTCAATGGTGTAGAGACGTTATAAAACAAGTGTTTCGGCAGGTTGCCACATACCTCCATTAATTTCCACCACGTTTGCAAAAGTTCCTAACGAGTTCTGTCCGCACTTCACAAAAAAGCCTCCAGCTTGTTTGGCGCTGTGAATCTTTTAATATGAAGCAGCAGCAGCAGGAAGGTGATAGGTTTGTATCAACGCTAGCTTCAACAGTTTTGAATCAACTGTTGAATTCCGTTGCAGTGCAGGAATCGTCTATCAAAATATTTAAATGTTTTATTTGGAAAGTACCCGTCCAAGTGCTTCCTCAGGTGTGCAGTAGCTGTTAGGTCAGCAGCTTCTTTCACGACACACATTAATTTCACTGACAAACACTACTTAAACCAATGAGGAATGACTGACTGAGGAGGCTAAGTATGAAAAAGAAAACCAGCCATTATAATTTAAACATTTATTTTATTGTTGCAAAATTATACACTGAGAAACCTTTGAATAAACAAACCCCTGCCCTTAACAGAGAAAGCATGCACATTTTCATCTTATTTTAAAATTAACAAAGTAGTAGTTCAAATAGTGATTGCTGAAAACTATTTCTAAACTCACTTCTGGATCTTGTTTTTAATTTCCAAGTTCCTCTGTCTATATGACAGAAGATGATAGAAGTTGAGTTATACTAAGGATCATATAAATGACTCAGTAGAGTAAAATAAATATGCTATATGAACACACTACAAAGTATTTGTTTTTTTAAGTAGTCAGTTTTATGTAACAGAAAACCCTGTCAAGTGATTGGTCAGAAATGGCACCACAGTATTATATAATAAAAAGTACAACCATCACTGGATGCATGACTTATTTTTTTCTTTGTTTTTTCTTTGCTGGAGGATTGGTGTAGGTTTAGTGGTCCTACCTCATATACTTAAGTAAACATTTCCATTGTGCAATTTAACTGAGAATATCCAAGTGCTCCCCCTATTGCCATGAGAGCATATGATGAAAAGTATGCTCCTGCACCAAATAATCCCACGGAAGCGATACCAAGCATTTTACACCACTTGTTTAATTTGATCCTCTCCTTTTCTTCCCTTTTTCTTTGCTTTTTCTCTTCCCTTTTTCTTTGCTTTTCCTCTTCCTCTTCCTTTTTTCTTTGCTCTTCCTCTCTCCTCCTCTTTTCCCTTTCTTCAAGCCTCTTGTGGGCTGTCTCATACATATCATTGGTGTAGTGACTTCCTCCATTCAATTCCACCATTTCCTCTATTTTATCTAGAAGATTTTTGACCTGTTTTCTGCTTTCTTTCTGATTATTGATGAGTGAATGGTACCTTCCTCCACACTTGTTTATCAGTGTTCTAAGATGTATGCTTTCTTTATAATAGTCTTTCACTGATTTATCCTGCAGCAGGTCACCATGTGTAAACAGAACTATGGTGTATATGGAAGCATCTGAACCAAAGTTTTCTTCAATCCACTTCACAGCATCCTGTTCCTCTTGTGTGAACCTTGACTTCAGGCTGATGACTAAAAGGAAAGCATGTGGTCCAGGAACTGACTGTTCAATGCACTCTTCAATTTTTGCTTTCACCTCATCTTGTGTTTTGCTTGTGTCAAACAGCCCTGGAGTGTCAATCACAACAATTTTTCTTCCACCTTTTTCTACCTCTTTTCTGAGACAGCCGTCAGTAACAGACTCAGGTGACATGCCCTCTTTGAAAGCAGTTGAATCCCCCAGAATGGTGTTTCCAGATGCACTCTTTCCTGATCCTGTTTTACCAACCAGGATGATTCTCAGTTCTTCATGATTTGTAGAGTCTGTGGAAAATAATGGTAACATCTGAAATATTTGAAGGAGTGTGCATGACTGACGTGACTTTTTAAAAACTTGTCTTAAGGTAAAGTGAGAAAAGTCTCTGATACAGTTGAAGCTTTCCAGGTAGTTTCACTGACACTAGTGATTCTGTAGTCTCATACTTGCAGCTTTTATATGCTGGTGACCACTTAAATAAAGGTATTGTAGATGTTCACTGAAAAAAAACCCGACTCCAAAAACAGATATGTTGTCTGAACAAGACAAAGTCCAACACTAGGTTAGTTGTTCATATGTATTGATTAAAAATATATTTAAATGAACACAATGAAATATATTATAAAGAAATCTTCTTTAAATTAAGTCATTTATACTACAACACAGGTGAACACTTGTTATGTTTATGTAGCCTATTCATGACAAACCGGCTGTACAAGTTCTTATTCAGCTTACCTCTGTATTGATTTTGGCAGTGAGCAGTTTGTCCACATAATGTCAGTAACACCAGCAGGATGCATCCTTGGATCCAAGCTTTTGCTGCCAACATTTTAGTAAACTCTCAAAAACTTTACATAGAAAAGAAAAAAACAAAGGGAAATCATTCAAGGAAAATGTTTCTAATCAGATCACAAGTAAATGTTGAACTACACTGAAAATATATGTTGAATAAATCATGCCCCAAATTGGTTGTTTATACAATTAAGCACTGTAGACTTTTTACAGAAACTATCAATAAAATCCGTCTTCTATTGAAATATTTAAAGGTTCTATTTTGAACGTACCTGTGCAAGGACTTTCTCTTGTGTACAGTAAACTGCTGGGTCACTACAATCTTTCAAAGCAGACAGGACACGCCCACTTTGCATTTCCAAGGAAAACAATACTTAAACCAATGCGGAATGGTCGGCTGAACAGCACCAGCCAGTGGTGACAAGAGGAATAGCATCATGTTCAAGTGAAAAATGTGTGACGGTAGGTCTGCTTTCTCCAGAAAATGAAAGCATTGAAACAAAAATAGTTTTGCATATGAAATAAAAAAAAGGTTTGTGGGTAATTATATATATTTTTTCACAAATACCCTTTTATAACCTAGTTTGTCTCACATAATTGATAGTGACTATAGAACACCAACAAAATAGGCAAGCATTCAGTAGGTAAGTAAATATATAAATTATCTTAGAACAAGAAGTCATCAGAAATAAAATGAAAATCAGCCTTTTTTATTTAAACAATGATTTTATTTTTTGCACAATTAAACACAGAGAAACTGTTGAATCAAATAAACCCCTGCACCAACAGAGAAAACACCCGCATTTTTATTTTATTTGAATATTAACACACTAGTAATTCAAGTAGTGATTACTGAAAACTTTTTCTTAATTTATTCTTAGATCTTTTTTGAACATTTAAACTTGTTTCAACCTTAAGAAACAACGTTCAACTTTTTTTTTTTGAAAACTAGGTCACATTAAAATCCAACACCAGTTCCTTGAATTCAGTGAAGTCATGCTACAAACATGGTTCTATAACTACAGGAAAAAAGTTTAAAATTACATACAAGTATGATTTCAAATTCAGAACCATTAGCCTGACTCCGGAAAACAGATTTGCTGGATGAACGAGGAAAAGTACAACACTAAGCTATTTTTAATGTCTTTTCATGATCAAGTATTCATGACAAACCAGTTGCACAAGTTTCTGTGCCACTTACCTTTGTATTTATTTTGACAGTGAGCAGTGTGTCCACAGAGTGTGAGTAGGACAAGTAAAATGCATGCTTGGATAAATGTTTGTGCTGCTGTCATTTCAGCCAACTCTCAAAGACAAGACAAGATACGAAAAGTATCAGTAAAAAGGTATCAATAAAATACATTTTCTGGTAAAATATTTAACCTGTGCAAGTACTTTCTCGGGCATGCAATAAGTTGTTAGGTCAACAGATTATTTTATAAAAGTAAGAACACATCCACTGTTACACTGAAAACAATAACCAATGAGGAATCACCAGCTGAGCAGCCTAAGTAATGAAGAAGCCAGCCAGTGATGAGAATAATAATAATGTTTAAGTGAACACTGTTTTAGTGTGTTTGTATGTGTGATTTATCCAGAAAACATCAGAAATTCATTAAAACAAAATCATTTTGCTTATTAAATTTAATAAAACAATAATTTAAAGAAAAAATAGGTTGACCTTTTTTACCCTGACTCCTATGGATGTGACAAGCTGGTTGGTGAGTATCTACAAGTTGCTTTTAAACATAACAGCTGGTCTTATTTTCTTTCTGCAGGATTTACAAAAAGATAATAGGGAAATGACAACTTTTAGACACAATAATTCATAGATATTCTTATATATAATATAATGTACAAGAAAATCTGAGAAAGCAAAACTCTCTTTGCCAGAAATCCCTGGGCTCTTCTTGTTTTCCAAGGCGGCAAACTGGGAAAGTGGAATGTAGGAGGACAGAACTTTGCCCATGCAAATCAGATGCACCTGTGTCTCCCTCATCAAACAAAGAAAGAGGTTGGCTGTGGGTGAGTGCTTGTACTGTGCTCCTGGGCCATTTTATTAACGCTTGCCCCATGTGGCCAAAAGAGACTGCTCGTCAGTAACGGTGGGGATACTTACAGGAAATGAAAAAGATCCTCTCTAAACTGATCCCCTCTAAACTTGGTTCCCTTCACCCTCCAAGCACTTAGTGATTATAGTTCTGAGTAAAACTTATTTTATTAAACCCCGACACAATCGCGGATATCACACACAAAGCTCAAACCAGTCTCATTCGCACTCTTACGAAACACACTGAAAAAATATGATTTGTATTTAAGCCCCAATTACTCCAGTTATACTCCGTCACCCCGGCTACAAACTCACACCCTATACCTCGATTGGTAAAAGAATTGTGTGCCAGGGTGAAGTTGGTTTTGTCATGAAAACTGTTTACGATCCGCGGCCCCCAACTTACCTTCCTGTACCTTCACTGTACAAGCACCACCCACCTAATGTCTCATCCGAGCCCCCTGTGTACCAGGATTTAGCAGAAGTTTTTCATAAGGATCTTGTCTTGTTTTTCCATCCACATCGACCCTATGACTGTGCTGTTGACCTGTTACCCAGCGCACCACTTCCCACATGTAAGCTGTAGAGTTTGTCAAAGCCCAGACATGAGATGATGAAAAAATACATAACAGACTCTCTGGCCGAAGGTTTCTTTTAGCCATCTTCCTCTCATCTCTGTGCTGTTTTTTTCTTTGTGGAAAAGAAAGTTAAGTCCCTTCAGCACTGCATAGATTTTTGAGGATTAAACATGATTACTCTGAAAAATAAGTACCCTTTGCCACGTCTTTCCTATGCTTGAGAGTCGTTACAGGGCGCAACCATTTTCAGCAAATTGGATCTCTGCAATGCCTACCACCTGGTAAGGATTAGAGAGGGGGATGAGTGAAAGATAGCCTTCAACCCTCACCTTGGACACTTTGAGTATCTGGTAATGCCCTTTGGACTAACTAATGCACCTGCTGTTTTTCAGCTCCTGGTAACAAAGTCCTGCGAGATTTCAGAAATCATTTTGTGATCGTGTATCTGGATGACATCCTGATCCTCTCCCAGTTCCTTAGTCATCATGAAGATCATGTAAGGTTAGTTTTGCAAAGATTACTAGAGAACAAGCTGCTCGTGAAGGTTGATGAATGTGAGTTTCATGCAGAGAAGGTCTCCTTTCTTGGCGAAAAGGGACATTTCCGTTCCAACTAGTCTTAAGTACAAGAAGTAATGAACTGACCTATTTCAGAAAACTACAAACACTTGTAATGGTTCCTTGGCTTTGTTATCTTTTAACACAGATTTATCTGTGACTTCAGTAGAATTTCTTGCTCCTAACCCAACTTATCTCACCCTGGTTTCAGTTCCAGTGCACCACCATGGCACAAGATGCCTATGATAATCTCAAACACCGCTTCTCTCAGCTCCCATTTTGTCTTTACCGGAACTCTCCAAACAATTCTTCATGGAGATGGATGCAACAATCTGAAGGTTAAATGCACCCTTGGACTTTCTTTTCTCATCACCTCTCATGCATAGAACAGAACAATGATGTTGGGTATCGACCAAGTCCATGCAAAAAAATCTTATGCGCTCAAACTATCTAAAAATTGCATGGATTATAGTGAGACACTAAAGGTTTAAGCAGATGTCACATTAAACTCACTACATGTCACATGTTTTTTACACCAAGTACTAAGATCATCTCTTCTTCTTCTGATCATCATCAGCCTTTGTGCTCTCATCTTCAATTTTCTTCTGATCTCTTGTAGTCTATTGTCATGCAGCACTTTTCTTTGCAGTCTTCTTTCATTACTTTCTCTCTGGACCATTGGAAATGTATTTTGCCCCCTTGTCGTAAAACATAACAAAACATCTGTGTGTTCTTGGCTGGTTCAAAAGCTAGGTATTTCTCCTGATTTTGATTCCATTAAAAACTGACCTTTAAAAAAGAATGCAACTATGTGCACAGCCCTCCCTCTAGTGAGCATTAGAAAGCATTGCAACATATATAGTACCAGGGGTATAGGTGTCATTTGAAAACTGAATTGGAGACAAAGCATGGGGGTGGAGATCCCCCATCCAGCTTTTTTTTTATTCTACATTATTACATCTGTGTGTGTGTGTGTGTGTGTGTGTGTGTGTGTGTGTGTGTGTGTGTGTGTGTGTGTGTGTGTGTGTGTCCTGAAAGACCAAGAGAGAGATTTTGTTGGCAACAGCTGCTGAATAACTTTCAGAGCACAATAATCTGAGAAGCTAATCCAGAAGAACTGAACAGAGAAGAGAGGCAATGAGTGTCTGTGTGAATGTTTTCACTTGTTTCAGTGTTAACATTATGTTTCTCTTCCATGTAATTGTGTGACAAGCTGCCAGGCTGTCTCCATCCTTATCTCCATGACATGATGTTGCTTTAGCTGCTGTGAATTAACAGCTGATTAGACTGTTGACAAACACAGTCCCCCATGCATAAGGTGTAGACAGCCTT